AAAGATTCAGATTTCAAGTCAATCATAATGTGAACTTCCTTGAAGTTTCGTTGATGCTTCTTAAAGGTAAATATATTTAAGGAAGTGAAGTATATACAGTATTTATTGGTGTTTGCTATGAGATTCAAGTCTGCAAGGTGATGATAATCTTTACTGAGGATGTACAGAGTTGCTCCTCCATGTCTGCAACATTCATTTTCATTTAGTGTCTGTAGAGTTGGTTGTCTTTGTTGCAGACATCTAGTACTAGTCCCTAGTGAGGCCAATATACAAATAGTGTTTTCCATAGTAACATCATAACTTGCACACGAGTTCATATAATTATGTTCACAAAAAATGCACTTAACCCCTATGGGTCATACTACGCTACAAGGCATATGGGTGCTGATGTTAGGGAAAAATGTGTAGGATGGGTCACTTGCTGATGAGAACAGTCAGAATTGCTGAAATACTATATCTCAATTAAATAATTATCTTTGAGAGCATTGAAAATGGGGCTTTGAGAACATGAAGGCAGCCAGGGTGAGGCAGTTAGAATACTGAAGGAGATATTAAAATTGGATTCTACGAACCCATCGTGACTCGTGAAATTATGATAACAACTGTAAATGCACTGGCCGGGAGTTTTAGGACTCGCTGGCCGTGGGTTCAGATCCCACCTGTTCTTGGTTTGGATTCTGTGTACTCTGATAAAGGGAACGATTGATTGAAAAGTTGCTAACTGTCCAACAGTCATAGCAACTCTCAGAGAGGTACGAGGTTTCTGTCTACAAGATCATAAAAGAATCTGTCATATTTAATCTGTATTTTGCAAATCTCTTATAAACCAAAATAACATTTTAGGTGTTTTTTTAGTTTGTATTAAGATTTTTGTGTAATAAAAATGTAGTTTTCAAAAAAGAAAAAAAAAGAAAATACGAAGCCATTAGAGACACTCGCCAAGCACCATAAGCAGTCGTTACTTCAAATTCATGATAGTTATAGTTCTTGAAGTCCAACAAAGCTAGAAGCTGCAAAAATTAAGTCTGGATAACAAATTTGGTTGCAGATTTGAGTTCATTTTGTGTTTGAGAAACTCTCTCTCTTTAATATATCCTTCAGATTTGATTAATATTGATAGTCATAAGAAATCATGGCCAAACTCAAAATAGATTTGGCTATACGGAAGCCCTCTAGCCGTAAACACAGTGGGTAATTGAATCTGTTTGCTGGCCACCCATCAGTAAAAATACAGTAGTTGCACAGTTGTCTGCTAATACAGGTTTGTATGTACGACTACATTGTAGTCAGTAAAAATGCCTGTTAGTACAGTCATTTGACTGTAATGACATTACCTTTGATATCCGCTATACAGACTTGTATGTACTACTGCAACAGGGTGACCCAAGAGTTTGGACATATTGGCAAAATTGCATTTTTGTTGTGATTATACAATAATTTTAATGAATAATATCTTAACATGTTGTCCACCATTAGTGATGCAAAGTTCAACAAGCTTTGCAAGATTCACATGAACACGTGGGAAAACAGAATATCAGTAATGCTCCTGTGTGTCTCGACTTTTGTGTCAACCCTGTATTGTACTCGGTAAAAATGCACTGCTAGTATAGTACTATGCCTGTAATAACATTACCTAGTTTTTCCAAAACGTTTTCAAAGCAAAACTAAACAATATTAGGAAGGTGTAGTATCCACGAAGATTTATTCTGAAATTCCTTTAGATGTCCACAAGGTAAATACTGTATTTGTGCATTCATGGTACAGTAGTGAGTAGTGTGAAGCAGATTCATGTCACCTTGATAAAGGAATAATCTATGGCACTGTAGTTTGCCAGAAATTGTCTCTTGTTTTGTTTAATAAGTACAGCAGCAATGGCTGACAGTCAAAGGAACACCAGTTCTGCGAGACACACCTCTAAGCTCGCACATCTTGATTTGGAAGTTTTATGATGAGCTACCAATATACCACAGTGAACAGTTGGAACATTTATAGATATGAATAACTAGAGTGTAATAAACATTTGTCAGTGCTCAATAATAGCCCACATAGAGATAAAGTCAGAAGATTAATTGAACTTCAGCAGATAAAGAGGATCCCAGAAGGGGATTGAAATATGCAGATCAATCAACTTCCTGTATATCTGTCTCCATGTTGGTTATTATTGAAGATTTACAGCTATATATAATATTTGGTCATAAAGGTGTA